TGAAGGCACACAAGAGTAGTGGTAAGAAATTGTACAAGTTGCGTTTCACATAACCAAAGGTACAGCATAAAATTCTGCATAAATTATGAAACATTCTCCAAGTTATGCACCATATACAAGCAGTTAATTCCTTTTATTAAGAAGTTTACCGATTTTATTATTACTTATTATTAGCTTATAGATGTATTTGCTATTATACTTCGAGCCGCCGTACGTTAAAGTGTTTAGCAATGCTGACTGCCATACCGAAGGGCCCGGGCTCGAATCCCAGTGAAGGCACGGATTTTTGTAAATGAATAATGTCTGTTAGGCATGGGGGCACTCAAAATATGCGGTGAGTACTCTAGAGAGGTCAGTGATAATGAAGAGGAGTGGGAAACCTTAGGATATGCCTCCAGGGTGCTTTTCTTTAAAACCTTTCGGAACATAAGACTATCTGTCACGGATACGGTGCTCAAGGCTCTGGCCAATTACAGATGCAGTTTTTTACTTCTAGCCACGATAATAATTCATGGGCTTGATCTGATTATATCAGACAAGAGAGATTAGTAGCAACTGTTATTTCGTATATTGATGTATTATACCCTCTCCCCTGTCTTTTAGTTTAATTCTCTTTAACTGTGGATATATTTTAACTGCTTATTTTATTATATTTTGATTTTGCATGTAAAATTAATTTATATAATATCAAAATAGATTTTATCTATTAAAACTAGTTTATATAAAGTATACATTTTAACTTTTCATAGTAAATACCTATTTTACTCTAAGACTATTGCATTTTTTTATATACATTGTATTCAATATTTTAAATATTTACTCAAACTATGCGAGAGCGGAATGCTGACTGTCTGCATTTGATAATATGACATTTGAAATTCGTGGTGCAGGAGCCATATTTTGTGGTTAGCATGTATTGAAAAAGGTTGGAAACCGGTTTTGTCAGAAGGAGGGGATTGAACAACCATCATATTAGTTATGATACTACATTTCTGGCCGATTTCGTGGCAGACTCTCTTACAGTTATGTCAATCGATATAACTTCTTTTTTATTCGGATTTTTTCAACCCTTACAAGAGTACCCGGCAAGAGATAGGATGGTTCATGGAGGACCTTTTAAGGAACACTGACTTGTTTCCACGTATAATCCAATCACATTATGTTTCGCCTACGAGGGACTTGACGTCAAAAGGGACAATTCTCAAAACCCGCACCATTCCAGGAAACCTACATAGTTAGGTTAACCATTTTCATCTACTACAAAGACTTGAATGCCAAACAGTAATTGATTATCGCTCAGACTGAAATAACGTGATCCTTCAGAAGCAGAACTTTCATCTGATTGGTTGATCTCTACGAGGAACACAACTCCAGCCGAAACATTTTCGGCAAGGTTTCAAAAAATCGGTTCCGTAGCTACGCAGGACTTTGCTTATAAGGGGGATCTAGGAACCCTTCCGTTTAAACCAGTGCTACCAGAATCCCTTTTCTCAGAAAAGTCCGTCACTAGACATGATAACCTCTTTACATGTATAGGAATCACAAATTATCCTATACAATGAGCTTGTTAGCTGGGAACAGTACCCAGTTAGAGCAATCAGCATTCAGCACTCGGTCACTGGTGAGCATGAACAAAATATTTGTCTCATATGATTTACTTCTGATTTTTGGAAGTTCTTAATAGTTTATACATAGATGAAGTTTTAAAATTTTATCAAAATTTTATTGTTGCTAGGTATTTTGATCCAAAGGATTGAGGGACAGATTTTATAGATGCAAGAAGTATTTTAACTTTTGATTACAATTTTAGAAAATAATAGATTTCAAATATATGATTCTTTTTCTTCAGCTACTTTGGCAGTTGGAATTGGCTGGACTGACTTGGCTATTGGTTGACTAAAGACCTTGCCGTACGTAAAGGCGTGACATGCCCGACGGCATTAATGACAATGAAAGGCTTCTTTTTTCCAAAAAATTCTCTACAATTCATTGCTCAACTTTCGTTGGGTGAAGAAGGTTTAAAAAAGAATTTTATTGAGAAGCAGTTAACTCTATTATTTATTTTTAACCAATAGTAAATAGTAACCAATAGTAAATAGGCACTGAGATGACTCGAAAGCCTCCTTATAAAAGAGTGAGATTTTCTTGTCGATAAAAATGCTGAAGATATAAAAAGAAGAGAAAAGAAAGCATTCGTCGAAGGCAGAAAGGAGGCTGCAGGTACATGACAGTATACACGAGCTCCATCAAATCTCTAGTTTAAGTTTTGCTTTGGACCACTGAAAAGCAGTGACATTTGAGGCATTACTAAGATTGCAATAATTTTTCATTCAAGCACACATAGGAGTAGGTCACAGAAGAAACACTAAAGAAGCAATTTTCTGAGGTACAGAATCAGACACCTCTCTAATTCAATAATTAGTAGTATGTGAGAAGGCTTCTACTGAAGAATCTGTTTAAGAACTTACGTTTAATCATTGCAGGACTAATTTAAGGTCTCATAATACCATAGAAGAGGGGGAGGACCATTCATCTAAGTCATAAACTAGATGAATTTCCTGCTGAAAGAGTATTCCTTTGCTTAAACCTTTTTAGATTTTGTACATATTGAATTTTCAGCTATACAACTGATATATACAGATCAAAGATTGATACAATCTCATTACATGTCTGGTTTAGTAGTCACTCTTGCTGAAAGGTAATAATGATGAAAGGCATAGATCTCTTTTAACAATGACTGGGAATAGTAAGCAACTGTCAAGTTATTAACTACTCTGACGATACAGTTATCATTAAAAAGTTCATAAATGCACAAATCACCATTTCTCGGCTTCTAGACAAAATTAAAGATATCGAAGAATGGTGTTCCATTTGGAGAGCTAATATTAAGTCTTCTAAAATCGAAATAACTCATTATACTCTGTTGCGATTCTTCTGCATGTACCACAGCTAGTAAAAATAATATTTTAAAAATTTCCAAAAATTTTGAGAAATATCACAATGCTTCTTAATTTATCAAATCTTCGAAACACTGTGAAATGAAATCTGCATAAATGTAATATTAACTTCTTCAAGAAAGCCTATGTGTGTAAATTCCTCAGTCATGAAAACCACTTTTAATACTACATTGTTACAGAATTTGTACATATGTAATTAACTTTTTGTGAAATTATATGTAAAATTGTAGTATCTTTTGTGTAATGTAATGTGAAAATCTCAAGAAGCGGAGATTTACCTGAACAATAAGCATACAGGGGCAAGTCTATTTAAAATTGAAAAAATGGCTAGCTCAGTAAATTGGAGAGATATTGCTAAGATGGCGATAGTTTGGGCAACCAATTTTTGTTGCTAAATTTGGCGAGAAATTGCCAAAAGTCGCAAAACTTGGTGACACTTTGGTTCAATCTATGTGTAACCGTAATTGATACTGTGATTGAATAAATGTAATTAATCTGTATATGTAGTAATTAATCTGTATATGTAATTTTAACCATATTTGCCCCTCTTATGCCTTTGAGTAATAGTAGAGATTTCTTAGCAGCTGGGAGAAAACTATATATAACCGGAGAGAGCATCAGTTGAGTAGTTATTCAGTTGAGTAGTTATTTAGTTCACAAAGTTTGAAATGTAACTACTGATAGTACTCTGTGATACTCTGAAGAGCTGTACAAGTATTTTGTGAAAAGTTCTAGAACTGTGAAGTATTCTTTTAATAAAATTAATTTATCATGCTATCATCAGTTGTGTGTGCATTTAATCTATTGCAAACCCACACGCATGCAGCAATATCATTTTTAAAGAGCTTTAATCTCCGACAGTTTGCTATTTACCTCATCTAGGATCATAACATTAATCATCTCAAGTTAGTAACCCCATGACTTTTACATTTCTTTTTCTTTTTAGCCGAAAGGGCATTAGCCCAGAAGGGCTATTAATATCGTTTTCACATTTTGTGTCGATTCACTTTCTGCATTGATTTACTTTTGAAACTATTGCCACCAACTATTACAGCCCTGTATTATATTTAAAAAATTAAATAATGAAGAATTTACACAAATGTATGTATGTTTCTTGCATTGTGATAAAACAATGGTACCTAGAGCCATCACATTTTGAATAATGTAGAATTATTGTTTGCTTCATAGTATACACTGTGTCTACAAACTCTTTATTTTTGCAACCATTGATTGTAGACATATACTTCCAGTTACAGAAATATTTTAAATAGCATAACTATTCATGTTTTAATATTTTTAAATTTTACAAAAATCAGTTTTATAAAAATTAAGTTTAGGAAATGTTTACACTCATCATTAAAAATACATGTACAAACAATGTACAATGCACATAAAAAATATAAATATACACTCATTATTAAAAATAAAACACAAAAAGTCTAACCTCCTTGCAACAAAAATTAAATGACATATTTAAATACAAAATTTAGGATATTTGACATTATTTCAAACTTTTCTTGAAAGGTCAGTTTAATAAATAAATTAGAATAACTCGAGGTTTATTTACTCACTTTAAATGCCACCCACTGCTATACTTTTGCAATTTAATCTTAAATTTGTCTTAAATTTACTAGTCTTGCAATTTACTACATTCTTAAAATTTATAAATTTGTTATAACTAGTAAGCCAAAAGAATTTTCACACAATAATCTATAAATTTTCAAGTGTTAAAAATGCATTATTAATATTCTCATAAAGTTTTATTACTTCAGAATCATGTTTTTATAATCACACAAAAAACTTCATTGCTTAAGTATCCATTAAAAGTTCATTGCTTATGAAAAATATAGAAAAAATAATTATGTTGTTTTTAGTGAAAACAGATATACCATAAGATCACTATTGTTCAGATTTTCCCTTTATATTGTTTTAATAAAATGGCTTCTTAATGGCTGTCAAATCTTATCTATTTAAATAATCATGGATATACATTGTGCTATATGTTTTGACAATTTCTAAATTTATTTCTATAAAATCAACATATTTTCCACTATGCCACATGTCTTTTTCATTTTATTTTACATACCGGAATATTCTTACAAATTGCAAAGTAAAATTTTACAATGTACAAAATATATATTTACATTATGACACATACTGAACAAGTGTTCACACATTTCCCTCTCCTTTTACTTTTAGTAACTTCTGTCATTACATATTTCCTTTCATTTGCCACCTTTCTTTGGCATCAAACCTGAAAAATAAATAATAAAAAAAAATTAAATAACTAAAACCTCTGTGTGAAATGTAAATGGTTTGCAATCCATAAAAGCGTTTAAAAAGTTTCATGTCCTTAATACACATACAAGTTAAACATGCAACACTTTTTCTCTTGCTTATATATGTAGCCAGAACATAGCAACATTTCACAAAAAATGTTTTAAAACCTATGTTACTGATATAATTACATTACAATTTTTATTAATAAAAACTGTTATTCAACAGCGATGGTATGATTTTGTTGGATCATAACAGACCTGGCAAAGCTTTACAGAGATAAAAAGACTGGTTGAGAATTATATCAGATATAACAAATAGGATACCTGAAAGCAGAAAGGCTTACAGACCTGACTTCGTTTTTGAAGAAGCTTTCTTCTTCTTTCATTGAAAATATGAGAAAAGGTTCAGACTTCATTTGAACTTCTCTTAACATGTATTTGATTCCAAATTATTATCATTTCTGCTACATTCATCTACTAGAGCAGGGGTGGCAAACCTTTATGGATCAACATGCTATTTTTTCTAAAGAAATGTTTAATGATGCCATAGACATACCGTCAAATAATTTTGACTTAAGTGATTATTGGGAAAATAATAATACTAAATACTATCAACTCAAAACTCTTTATTTACTAACAAAAAACTATAGTTATACGTGTAATTCAAATTAAAGTAACATAATGTGACTTCTGTTGTTGCAGATTAGATGGCAAATTCTGTTGTTGCAGATTAGATGGCAAATTCTGTTGTTGCAGATTAGATGGCATCTATTAGGGTTCTAAGATGTTACTTTTAGCAGAATGCATGCTGAACCGGAATCATCTGCTAAACAGTTTCTAGTTCTTAAACAGAGTTTTTAATGTTATTTATCTCTGAAAATAATCACTGGCAGGCACAAGTAGATAAAAATATGGTTAAAATAGCAAGAGTCAGCTTCTTCAGTTAAATGTGTATGGAAACAAACTCCATGTTGCCAAAATTTTGTTACTGGCATTTTTGTTATATTGCTTGTTAATCTTTCTGTTTCAATCAGTCCCAACTTTTCCCTTGTTTCAATAAATTTTTGAATCCATATTGAACTAGACTGGAAATCAATCAGTTGCATTTCAAATTCTTCAATTTCCAACCAATCAAATTGGGACAAATTCAGTTTATCAAATGAAATCACATCAGAGTACATAATAAACTTGAGCATTTCTGATAATTCTTTGAACTGAGAAAATCTCGCTGAAAACTCCTTGATTGAAGAATCAATTATGGAAATAAATTCTTCAATAACTTTTTCTTCATCTGGTTTCTCATATATACTGCGCAAAAGAAAAAAATGGGATAGTTCTGTATCTGCCATTCTACTGGGCTGATTGACAAAATTCAAATTGTGTTTTTTCATGTCTCGAAAGTGCGATTTAGGATATAAGGACTTAGGACAGCCTTGCTCTAACATAGGTATTTTGACACAAAATCGGACTTTTTCTGAAAGAGCATGCCAATTTTTTTCCATATTTTGTTCCTACAACTCAAACTATGCCTAAATATTAAATTTTGTAAAATTTGGTTTCACTTGGAGGACTTTTTAACGTATGGCAACCTATTTTCCTTTTTCTTTTTACATTGTGCATGAGCGGAAAAAAATCACATCGTTCCTACTTTAAAATAATTTTAACAAAGTGCCTAAACCACATTTGATGTTATTATTGCTTTCAATAAACATGTCAAATTTCAAAACGCAAGCACCAATATATAAATTCACAAATGTCTTCGGAAATTTTGAATACAAAATTCTAAATTTTTTCAGAAATATATCTACTTAGAAAGACATTTACATTAAGATGATAGTAAAAGTTTTATGTATTATGATTAAAATTTTTTTCGAAAAATTTCAAAAATTATTTAAAATACAGATTTAAAAAATAAATCATAAAAAATGGAGGGATTTTATTTGAAATGAACCTAAATTTCAAAATGTGAAAGGAACAATCAAATAAGTTTAATAAAAAAAGAGAAATTAATAAATATGTACCAAATTCAATTAACATAGAGGAGCTAAAATTTTGAGAGCTAATTTTTTAAAAACTGCTTTACAAAACTTGGCAGTTTGGCATAATTTGAGTCGTAGAATCGAAATATGGAAAAAAATTGGCATTTTACTTCAGAAAAGTTCAATTTTTGCGTCAAAATACCTATATTTGAACAATGATATATTTAAATCTAATCCATATCTTAAGTCGCACTTTCGAGACATAAAAATGCAAGTTGAATTTCCTCAATTGGCCTAGTAGAACAGAAGATTTAGAACTGTCCCCTCCCCCCCCCTTGTGCAGTGTATGTCTAAATCTTGGATACTTTTTTTCAAGTTTGGGAAATATTTGTAGTTTTTTGTAATAATATCGTTTCTCAAAACATGCAGTATAGCATCAAAAGAGTGATCCATCATAAGTGTGAGATCCATCATGACGATAATTGTTTTATTTGTGCCTTGAAGCATAATGTTTAATTCATTGAAATGTTGACATATGTCTGTAACAAACATCAATTTTGAAAGCTATATAACATTCAACAACTGTGGGTATTGATCAATTTTTCCTTCATTTTGCAGAAACAGTCTGATTTCTTCCAAGCAGTCAACAAAACTTTAAATTACATTCCCGCGGCTCAACCAGTAACATTATTCTACATCAGTAAGACATTATACATTGAGCTGACTTCATCCAACAAAGCATCAAACTTTTGCTTATGTAAAGTCTGCGATGATATGAGGTTGACTATTTTTGTGACTAACGCCATTACATTATCAAGAGATGTTAAACCACTCTTAGCACAAAAGAATTGTTGGTGAATGATGCAGTGGAATTCATGAATCGAATATCCTACGTCTAAAATAAACTAATAAAACCTTTTTAGTCCAAAGGGATTTGAGTCCCGAAGGACTATTACTTTCGTTTTGGCATTTTGCTTCGGACTCCTATAAATGTGGGTTCACTTTTCAAACTGTTGCCACAAAATGTTAGAGTCCTGCATTATATTTGAAGAAATTAAATAATGAAGTTTCTCGCATTATGAAAAAACAACGGTACCTAGAGACATCAAATTTTGAATAACGTAGTCTTTCACCAGAATATGGGCATCTGGAAGCCCAAATTTGGAATTTAAGATTTATTTTATCATTGATTTCATATTTTGTAAACCTTTAATAAATTTTTGAGTAACAAACTCAACAATTTAAAAGCGAGCAATGGCAACACTCTACGAGGGGGGGACCTTTTTATCTCCAGCACGTGGAACTGTGTATCGGAAATTCTAAAGATATGTCTCATTTTAAAATTATTTTTCAACATTGCTATTGAACAAAATTTTATGGTTTAAGTGCAAAAAACATGATATTTAATAAATAAAGGTAACACATAAAATGTTAAAAAAACACCCCCTTGGACGTAATTTTAAATCTAAAACATTTTTTGAGGGGGGGCCACCATGCTTGGAGAACCATCAGTTGTTACTGAATTTTTTTTTTTTTTTTTTTTTTTTTTTTTTTTTTTCAAATCAATTTCTTTCTCAGCAAGCGAATTTTTAACAGCCATACAAATGTCTGAGCCCTTTGTAGTTGCTAGCAATGATATTATCATAATTAATTCTTCCTTTATGACGTTTCCTATGCAATATTGGGCAAAACCCGCTAAACGTGCAGATTTAGTGACATCAGTACTTTCGTCAAGACTTAGCGATATGAAAGGAGTGGAGTTAATGTCACTTTTTAGTTGATCTGTCACATTTCTGGCTAGTTTTAAGATTCTTTCTTTTATTGTGTTCCTAAAAAAAAAGTATCTTTGATGTGCAGAATTATTTTATCTTTTATTATCAAAATCATCAAAAAGTCAGAACACACATGCTAACCAGACTTCCTTGAAAAACTCTCCCTCTTGAAAAGGTTTACTATGATGAACAATGACATTTGCAGCTGAGTAACTTTCCATGCTCGTATGACAGTTTTTGCCAACATATTTAAATCATAGACATCGACTGTTTATTTCTGTCTTTTTTTGCGCTTAACAATTAATTCCTTTTGTTCTCGTTCGCTTTTTTGACAAACGGATTTGTGATTTGTTTAAAAATGTCATTTTACACACTATGTTCTACATACCACTATTCTGGAACATAAAACACACACCGCTTTGTCACCTTTACTAATCATGACATATTTATCGTTCCACCAAGTTTGAAATTCTTTGTTACACTTACTATCTTGCACTTTTCCTTTTTTTTTTTTTTTTTTTTCTGAACTAGCCATGTTAAATAACAGTTAGAAATCGTAAATATAACACAAATGAACTAGATAAACTTTTAAAGTTATGAGACAAGATGTAAAATGCATAATAAAACTATATGACATTAACAATTCTAGTCCACAACATAACTAAAGCTGCATTCAGATGACAGTACAGGGTTCGTACACATTTCCTTACATGAAAATTAAGGACTTTTAAGGACCATCAAAGAAAAAATTAAGGACCTATCAGCAAACAAAAAAACGAATAGAATAAAGTAATTATCCATACAACCAACTTCATGCTTGTAATTTCACTTTAAGAAACTAACAGAAGTGTGTATTATGCACTATTATTAAATTCACTTTACCATAAAACAATTTTGAAAATTAAACTAACTCCCTACAAGTTATGAAGTAGATAACATTAAATTAGGAACATAATTTCTTTAAAAACATGTATAAGTGTATTTTACACTAATAACAGTCACTATTTTAGAGATTTACATGATTATTATTTAACTTATTTGATATTTATTTAAACACAGTCAACTACTATTATAATCACAATGTAAGAATATTTTGCAGATTAAAATAACTGATTTGTAAACATACAATTTATTTCCTTGGTTTTTTGAAAGATACTAGAATAATAAACTGTACAATAAAAGATACAAAACATCTGTGCTTTTTTTAATCTGAAAATCTTTTCA